GTTAAAATACTAATTAGGGACAGGTCTCGCTGAAGGTTGAGGACCTAAATACCGAAAAGCCATAACTCTGCGCTGGTTGACAAACGGACCGTACGAGTTGTGATCTGCCTCGTAATTACACTATTACGGAGTACAGGACTGCCTAAACGTGTTGAGGATGACACACATTAATACAAGAAGCCTCGCTATCAATGTGTCTGTCCTCTACAACAAATGCTAATAATAATTAGAGAAAATATATCATCTCTTGTATCATTGCATAACCATATGATTTTTATCCCTTCGAGGTACAAAGTGACATTTGGTTTGTCCATGAAAGTATGTGCTGCAGAATTACTACAGCATACCGTTCGTAAATCTATAATTTCTATCTATAATCTGGATGGCAATTTCAACAACGTCATTTCCTGTCACCATTCACAGATTTGTCTCCAGTTTTACCACTCTTGTTCATGATTTCTCTAACATGCTGAAACTCACGATTGGAAGCGTCACTATTATATGTATCGTAACCATTTAGCAAATTGAAAACGTCATCCATTTCGAGACAATATTAATGGAATTTTGATGATGGCGCAATTTAAATGTTACACAACAACTTAGTTTGTTATTTTTTCAAGTATGCCAGAGAAAACAAACTGGGTCTATTTCCTGGACAGGGATATGGTCAGCACTGGACAAGTCTGGTGCTGACCAGCCAATCTCTTACTCTCGGGTAGAGATATACCTGTTTAAATGTGTCAGATAGCATTAGTTCTATAAGTACAATTTATGTTACAATGATGGTTAAATAGTACCTTTTAATTTTAGAATGGCGGGTAATATACTGAATGTGGGAACGGTACAAAATAGAACGGTAGGATAATATTGTTTGTACAAACGGTACAACATAGAACGGTGTAGGACAGTGAGGATTATACTGTTTGTAGGAACGGTGCAGTTTAGAACGGTGTGTATTCTACTGTTTGTGGAAATGGTACTGTGTACAAGGTCTGTGTTATGAAGGTAACGGTTTAGAGGGACACCGCAGACATAGACAATGGCGTGAAAAAGTCATGTGACTGCTAAACGGCTAGAGTTACACGAGGGAGAGCGAAATACACGCAGGGAGTCCAGTGATCCCTGAGATAAGGTAGAGAGGGAGACGTGTCTTAGTTTCTTATCGATCCGATATACACAGTTACAGCACTGATTTCTACAGCACTATTCCTACCATTCTTTATAACAGAATTATATGTTTGAAACACTCGCCTTGCCTTGTGTACCTATTCTCAACATGTGACTAAGGTAGCACACCGCACGTGCCAACACGTGACTGACGGCCATTTGTCAAAAGCAAAATTCCTTACCAAGCCTTCGAATATTGGGGCTTTTCGGAGTTGACAAACATAACAATGCAAACCATCTGATGATTCAGAGACAGAAAAAACTCCATTTTCACTCAAAATCACCAAAATTATTTTAAACTATTTGTATATTTTAGGTACAATCTAATTTTCAATTGAAAGCACAGAAACAAAATACAGACGACAATGTCTCCTGGGATGATTATGTAATCAGACAAAAGTCTGGTGAGTTAAAATATAAATATAATTTGACAAAATGAGATACACTAATCAATGTTGGGAAACCATTCGGCTACGTAAACAATCTGGCCGGAAATTTATATAACGATAAAGATTGTCAACGAATATCAACGTAATCAAATACAAAACTTCACGCCATTAAATACAAAACACCACATCATTAGATGCAAAACATGACATCATTAGGTACAAAACATCACATCATTAGATACAAAACATGACATCATTAGGTACAAAACATCACATCATTAAGTACAAAACATCACATCATTAGGTACAAAACATCACATCATTAGGTACAAAACACCACATCCTTAGGTACAAAACATCACATCATTAAGTACAAAACACCACATCATTAAGTACAAAACACCACGCCATTAGGTACAAAACACCACATCATTAAGTACAAAACACCACATCCTTAGGTACAAAACATCACATCATTACGCACAAAACAACACATCATTAGGTACAAAACACCACATCATTAAGTACAAAACATCACATCATTAGCTACAAAACATCACATCATTAGCTACAAAACATCACATCATTAGCTACAAAACATCACATCATTAGGTACAAAACACCACATCATTAGCTACAAAACATCACATCATTAGGTACAAAACACCACATCATTAGGTACAAAACACCACATCATTAAGTACAAAACATCACATCATTAGGTACAAAACATCACATCATTAGGTACAAAACACCAAAACATCACATCATTAGGTACAAAATACCACGCCATTAGGTACAAAACACCAAAACAACACATCATTTGGTACAAAACATCACATCATTAGCTACAAAACATCACATCATTAGCTACAAAACATCACATCATTAGCTACAAAACATCACATCATTAGGTACAAAACACCACATCATTAGGTACAAAACACCACATCATTAAGTACAAAACATCACATCATTAGGTACAAAACATCACATCATTAGGTACAAAACACCAAAACATCACATCATTAGGTACAAAATACCACGCCATTAGGTACAAAACACCAAAACAACACATCATTAGGTACAAAACACCAAAACATCACATCATTAGGTACAAAACATCACATCATTAGGTACAAAACAACACATCCTTACGTACAAAACATCACATCATTAGGTACAAAACACCACGCCATTAGGTACAAAACACCACATCATTAGGTACAAAACATCACATCATTAGGTACAAAACACCACACCCTGATAAACCACCAGACCATTAAGTACAACACTTTAATATCAGACACCATAGCATTCTCTACAATACTATTATGTACAAACGTTTAGACCTTCGAACAGCTTTAATTGAATATGATATTTTGGTCTGCTATAGGAAAACCTACATGTAGTTCGATGTTGACTAAAAAGCCTTTGGAAACCATGCTTGTGGAATCTTACACTGATGGCAGTCCATACTGTACCACTTTCCGCGGGGAAAGCCATTACGATGTTGTATTACGATAAATCGGGATGGACATCCGTGGGATGGGACGTTATCAATGTTCTGCCGACCATCAGAGACTACATTGGCAGGCCATGGCGGAGTAGAATTAGCTCTACAAACCATCCTAAATATGGCGATAAGTCCTGTATACTACGTCCATGTTATCACAATGGACATCCCGGGAAACATAGCAAACGGAAGCCGATACTGAGATAAAGGTAGAGAATAAATATCCAATTACTTCACAGCACCCACTGATACACAACCAACAGACTACAAAATTTAGGAACATTACAAAACATCTTGTATTATCTATCTTTTACTACAAGAATAAACGGACCCCAAGGTTAGACACGTGTTTCACTTCCTAGTAGTATATCATTAGTCTACATATCACAAGGTCACGACTCTAGGAAGCAGGAGTTTGCAATGTCAAGGTCGTACCTATATATAGTGTCTTTGTCACTACTGATCACCTGTTTAAAAAATCAAGTTTGTATAAAAGACTGGAATGAATCTGAATAGCACTTTGGTTGCAAAATGTGAGGAGATCAGTTTGTAATATGTCCAAACTGATTTCAAAAATAGTTTTCTCCATATCTATGTATGTTATTTACAGGAGTCTTCGCCTGATGAATATCTGTCTTCTGTGTTAACCTTGCCGATGTGATAAACACATATATATATATAACTCAAAGCTAGATAATACACCATAACATCACGAGGTATTCACGTATGTTCAGTAAAAGTATGGCTAATTAACACACGGAGTTTCCTTGTGAAACGACTGGGCAAAACACGTGTGCACGGGAAGGGAGACAACCTGTACGAGTATCTATAGAAAGACAACGGTTACCAGTAGTAGTAAGCTCCCTTGGTACACACAAAAAAGAACTCACCAGGACAGGTGTTGCTAGAGTAAGGTGAAATGTGGTAAGCTGCCCTTTAAAACGACGTTCAAAGGCTTAATTATAAACATTATATAATCCATGGTACCAGTGATCACAGGGCCCTATCGTTACTGAAACAATATTATATTCAATAGCTTGAGTTCAGATGCTATTTCCTTTTTATATAACGATAATTGTGAAGTGAATATTAACTTTTGCCGTTAACACACTCGCAACTTTTTTACCTTATCACTACGCATGTCATCAATTTACACATCCTGATTTATGTAAATTACGTATACAATCCATACTGTCATGTTTAACATTGATATTTGAACTGTTCACGTCTTCTCTAAACCATTCCAGCCACAAACCATGTTTCGGTAGGTTCAAACACACAGTACACATCAGTACACATCAGTACCCATCAGTACCCATCAGTAAACTATACACATAAAAATATCCAAACTGACAGGTGTCATTCGGATACGCCTACCGTAACGTAAGGTTTACGTTAAAAACGAATTGTATTCCATATATCTACTGTTGGTGTATCGATTGGTTCATTTCTGATCAATATACTTGTATTGTGTTTAATGAACTGCATTACATTTTGTGTTGTGTTGTGTTTTGAGGTTTTGTGTAGTATTGTGTTGTGTTGTTGTGATGTTTTTCGGTAGTATTGTGTTGTGTTAAATAACGAGTAACTCGCCTGTTATCCAGTGTATGTCACTAGTCACATACCCTGGGGTATTTCCATTAGCTTTGCTAGTCAGAAATGATTGTGATGTCGTAATATGGTCAACGACATTAAAAAAAACTGGCATGACAAAATGGTGTTCTCCGTTTCCTTTCCTTCGCTCCATTCCGACTTAAAAACCTGTCAGAATGTAACTGTTCTGAATCATGTGGTCGAAAGTATCTTTTATTTGTCCCCATTTCTTATCAGATTTTAGAAAATAAAAATCAACGACTCGTCTCAAATCTCAAATCTCATATGACTTGAAAACTCATTCAAGATCCTATATTTTATTGCATTGTACTTACCGTGTCTCGTGCGGACTTTCCATTATGTACTCGAGATCAGACACAGACCCGGGATCGTCCGGTAACACTAGAGGCATACGTTTCTGTGAGGGGGAGGTTGGGGAGGAATGACATTGAGTCGGATCCGAGTTCCGACCACACACACCAAGCTGTTTCCGTGCATTAGTCACTTTACAATACCTGTTGTTATCGAAGTATCCAATGGAATGAGGTCGCTGGGGCATCCGTTTGGAAGTTCGGTCACGGCGCATCACCGAGTCCACATCGTTAACGTCAAAACTGGAAAATGGTTTTGACGGAGGCATATTCTTTTTCCGGAAAGGTGACTTTTGTATGTGTTTGATGAGAGCATTGTAGTCCCTGCCATAGCAGTGACTTTGTATGTCATCATTAACGTCCAACTCACAACTCGCCCCCGCACACATCTCAGGACACGAGCGAAGGGACTGAAGGGAGGCGTCGCTATGGGAGTGGCGTATAGATGGGACCTCCAACAGGCCACGCCCAACCTCCTCATTACTTCGTTGACGTATGTATTCCACATTTTGATGTTTAGTTTCACAACTTTTAGATTTTTTCACATAATTCCCATTTAATTCGAATTCCCGCGCAATGCAGTGATTCATATTGATATCGGGACTAGGGGTGATATCATTTCCGGTTGTTGACGCATGCTCATCTAGTGAGCAGTTTGAAGAAGAAGTACTGGAGGAACGCGACAGGACGACGCCCGGGTCATGCTTCTTCTTGGTAAAATTGTGTCTCTTTTTCTTGGCTTGGGAGCGTGCGGATATATCCGTCTCGGACGAATACTTTGATCTATACCCGGTCAGTCCATCACCGTGCCTCGGCCAGCTGTGACCAAGACGTCCCCCAGCTCCGGCATGGTCTTTTGGGGACTGACTGTGGTGTGACCATGAAGAGTATGAATGCGGTTGGTGAATACATCGCTGCCCCTCCTTACTCGGTCGGCGAGGAGGTAGGGGTGGAGGTCGGTCAGTTTCGGCAGTTACCTCCCCTTGTTTTTGGTCCTTGTCTTTGTCGCCGTCTTTGTTATTGTCGCCTGCTTTACTGCGTTCTGGAAATAGAACCAGAAAGGAAAATGAAATGTAATATTGTGAATACTATATAATATAGTAATCTGGCGACGCAAGGAAATCGAGTTACATAGGGTTAACATTTGGATTAAACAACAAACAGAAAATTAAGCTGCATTTAAGAAGGGGTGAATTGTAATCCTAGTATATTGACAATGTAAACACAATCTGTCTTATTATATAGTACAAGCGTATCTGTGAAACACTCAAAATGTCTTATTGTTTAACACAACTTGACGTTGTAGAACCATTGTGACTAATTGTATGACACAAACATAAAGTATGCTCTCCAAATTGTCTTGTTTGTATTATGTAGTATCCAACATGTCTTGTCGTACAACCTAATGACTAAGCATGTAAACCTCAACATCTCTTATCGCACAACACAAAAACGTTAAGTATGTAAACCTCAACATCTTATCGTACAACACAAACGTTAAAATATAAAAATATGAACTTTGTTTATTTTACAATAATTGCGAAACAAGTTATGTCAACTTATCCTAATCAATCTTGTTGGCCCGGATGTAAGCGCGCGAGGGGTCTTATTGTGGGAGGATACCGGAGTACCCGGGGAAAACCCACTGGTCGAGCAGGTGACCCCTTGCCTTTTCACGTCCGTTCCGGAAATTGAACCCCGGTGAAAGGTGAAAGGCGAGTGCGTTACCACTGCGCCACTCGACCACCCTCGTTACACAATGTTAACCTCAACATGTCTAATACAAAACGAGCATTAACTTTGTAGACCTGGTGTGTCTTATTGTATAATACAAACATAAATTATGTAGACCGAACATATCTTTAAATTATGAAACTAAATTAGTAATGTGAAGTAAACACATTCCACACTTATGGCCATATTGAGACCTGAATGTCCTATAATGGAACATATGTGAGATTTGAATTCCTGTATATGCAGCGAGACTATTGCACAAAACACAAACCCTTTTTATATATTCTCTAGGTAACTTAGTTGCAACTTTCATCGTACGATGTAAAATGTCCTAGATGAATTAGAGACTTAGGTTTCATGTCCTGTACATGTAGATCACGAAATCTGACATTAAGCTAATGACCTAAACCTTAATACATACGTATCTGTCAGGACAGTGGTCATTAAAAGTCATTCTTATGACACGAGCTAATGTGGTTGCAAGGTATGACAGACTGAGCTGTGATCATGATGTATATTGTCCCGGATATTGATATATATATAAGTATACGTCTGGAATAGTGTGCATTTTATTGGGCAGCAGAAGGGACCGTACTTACACACCTGTACATACATGTACACAACTGTACATACCTGTGCACACCTGTACATATACACCTGTACATACACACCTGTACGTACAACCATTAATCAGTACTATTACAGTGTCGCTATCCACAATATTATCTATACTTGTAAATCTCACTATTTATCATACTGGTTACACTTTCACAATTCTGGTTATAACAGGTGTGTGTTATACATTGTGTTTAGCAAGCAGCATAGTACATCACAAGTACAACTTAATGTTTAAATACAACATGAAACACCCATCATTGTTAACAAGGACTGTTTTATCCTCCTTGTTGGGAGGGGGTGCATACAAAATATTGAGAGTGTATACGTATTGATAAATGAAAGGCAATATCACCTTGTACCTGACATGATAACATCAAGCGTCCGTATTTCATAAAGATTTGACCACGGGCGTACCTTGTTGTCCCCTGTCGCCAATACTATATATGTATGTATATACGTATTTTTCTTTCATTTCATCTGTTTTTGATTTGTATGTCCGACAAATTCTAATTGTCTCATTCTGCATTGTAATGGTAGTTTTACCAATAATGTGTCTCATTCTTTTGATGTGTATATACCCGTGTACAGATGTTAACAGGAAAACTTCCACTCTAATACGGACAAAAATTATAATAGATGTCCCTGTGAAATCAGGCTGGGAACGCGTTAAAGCACAGACTTATATACATAAATATCTATCGAAGTCCGTGGTTAGAGTAAGAAAGCATGTGTTTATCGCCCCCGTCATCACGTCTCGGGGATATTGCTAAACTATTGTATACAGGGAAGTACTACAATCAACAACGGTCAAATACACACACAGATATATATATATATATATATCATGCATACAGGTTTTGTCTCCGTTTATTGACTTTAACTACTGACAAAATTTTATCAGTATTTTGACCCACAATACTTATTTCCAAAACGAGTTGTACTTTTATTCCTATCGTGGACAAACATGTACGTTTCAAACAATCATCATTTGATTATTTTTCAAACGTCGATACCATCAAAAAGAGGTAAAAGAAATTGATGACTTGTGTACATTTAGCATACTACAGAAAGCAAGCTGCATACAATACTTGTTTGGTTTGTGACACTGTAGCGGGGACGTATCCGTTTCATTTCTGTGTCTGTTTGTAATGTATAATCAGCCAAGCTGTATTTCTCTGTTTCATATGCAGTGTAACCTTTGTAGCTTGTTTTCCGACGAAGGGTCGCAGTAGGGCAGTGTTATTCAATACAATATTAGTCTGGCGGGCTACATAATTCAATTTATCAGTAAAATATTTCGGTACAATTTTACGTTTAAAATGAAGGTGGCAGTCGCATACGATTGCTGACGTAAATTTGTCAAAATAAAACATATTTGTTTAATTAATCGGCAAGTCCGTGGTTATATTACACTGAAACATAAAGAAAGATGACAGTATATGTTGCCACCTTACTGAGATATGTTGGTTCCGTGTCGATCTGTTCGTGTTTAAATACGTGTACACACGGGTATTTGCCCCACGGGAGGCTGCGTATACGTAGCTACATGAAATAAATTCTACAAGGGTGCATGTATATAAGTAACCGGGGTTATCACATCAAGATTATCATTTGATATACGTATGTTTACCTGAAGAAGGTTCCTATCAGTAAGACGCTGAGTCGCGGGCATGTGAGGTCAAGGTCACCACAGTTATCGTCTTATGTTTTACTTATCTGGTGGACATTCAAAGGTACATATATATATATATATGTTTACGTAATTCTCACGTGGGCAAAGTGTGTTACCCTTTGTTTTATCATTGAATAATTGTTTGATGTAAAAACTTACCTTTACACAAAGCCGACCTTATTAGCTCCCACATTTAAATTACGGTACAAAGATTGATGTTAAGCTCGTGTTCCTGAGCAAAATAGTTTGCCATCCGGAGGTAACATCTTTGTTATAACCATCTGTACGTACTATCACACAACTAACCGTACAATATCTTCCCAAGACTTGTCAATTGTCCTTGTAAAAATGACAAGACTTTGATAAGGTATCGGATAATCACACGACCATCACCTATCGGACCCGGCGGCCAAGTGGCCAGGTAGTGGCTTCGTAATTAACAGGTATAAACACACTTTATAGGAAATCACTGCCAAGCACAGCAAGTACGGGTAAACGGCTGCCCGGACATTGTCTGATGATGTTGACAAAACGGATCCATCGGAACATATCCGGACACTTAGGGATACATCGGGACTGCTCCGGACAGCATACATTTGAAGGACTCCTTCAGGGACTTTTCAGGCGATGATACAGAATTGATAAGCCTAGCCCAAAGTTATTGACACCAGAGGTCTACACTTACAGAGTCTTGTTATGTATATCACACAATTTGTAATCAAACAAACGTATTACTACTACATGTAAGCATGAAGGTGGCTACCGGTATACACGCATTCCACACCTGGTACACAATATGTATTTCTTCGCCTGGTACACAATACGTACTTCTTCATATCTATACTCAAATATAACTAAATGAAACACGCGCCTGTACTTATAATGTACTCTGATAATTATTTGTTACTTAAACAGACTTTTTGGTATATGTGTACTTATACAGTAAATAACATATACACCCAATCCAAATCGCGCATATACATTATTCAATAAGAGAACGTGCACGTATTTTGTAATTTTGATAAACTGTTAGGGTTTTATGTCATTGTATAATTGAAAAGCCATCCTATTTTATTCTATATATGCATGACATCTTTTGTCACTTTTAGACGCAATATGAAACGAAAAAAAAGTTTTGCTTTATTACTAATTTCATTTTAGCGTCCTGTCATTCCTATATTACCACAAATTCTTTTACAAAACAAACATCAATGGACTTAAATATGCATGTACAAGGACTGAACCAACCGTAACATGTAAATAAACATTCTGTGAGTGGTTTTCCTTTTTTTTTATCTAAACACACTTTCTTCCTTTTAACGGATATTAGGTAAGCTACACACGCACAATGTACTTTAAAAACGTATTCTGTAATTCGAACACGTTTTAGTATCTTAAATTCGCATTAATAATCTAAACATACAGTCGGTGAAGTATTTGTTTACACCTGAGATTCAAAGCGAGGCTACCGTAACAAATCGTGTTATGTGTTTTGATTTATTGCTATAATACGTTTAATTTCTTGAAAAGATTGCATAATTCCTAACACGGATAAAGGCGATGAAGTTAGAAACAATGTTAGAACTGTGAATATTTAAGATGTTTTTTTTACAGTACAAGTCAAACTACGTATAAAGTTCTACATGGCTACAGGAGCTTGCTGAAAGTCGCGACTGAAGGGAAGTAACTCTAGTTAGCTACAACAGGATTTTCTCTTATCCTGCAACTGTCGCTACCATATTATATTGTCGGAATACTTTTTGTATTCGGCAGTGACGGAAAACAGTTGTCTTTTAGCACGTGCGTTAATTCGGCAAAATAACTCTCTAGATTTACTTAAAATTACAATTAACAGTATAAATAACTGTTGAAATAAGTGAATTTATATTTTGTAATAAACAAGTTCATTTATGAATAGGAAATCGCTGTCCGTTGAAATTTGGTACTATATTCCTGTGCGGAGCAATTGTTTGCCGTATGTTATCAAGCAAAATTCAGCGTAAACGTCAGCGTAAACA